GCTTTTATAGTGACTTGGATTTTAGTTCTAGCTTTGCTTTTTGGCTCATTGCTTGATTCAAGAGAGAAAATTAATAATATTTATGCCTCAGGTATTTAACTTGTAGAGTCAGAGAGGGTCAGCATATCTATGAAATGCTTTGCATTCTTGCAGGGAGGTAACATATAAATATAGATACCAGTATTTGAAAACGTACGGTTTCCCTCTGGTTCAGAACAGGAGAATTGAAGGGGAAAGTCTTTCAGTGCTGTACTAATGGAGCTGGTCTTCTCCTTCCCCGGTTGATGATAATGACTTTTTATCTCTGCCTTGGTATAACCTAGGAGGATGGTTATGATGAGTGTGAATTCTTTTTCCTGTTTGACCTGGAAGACTTCCGAAAAGGAGATCTTTTTACAATAATGATAAAAGGTGAACCAGTGAAGGGGGTAGGGGTGTTAAAAAAAAAAAAAAAAAAGGCTTATTGTGACATTGAAAGAGGAAGCTAATCTGTATTGTCAGCTCAGGCCACAGCTAGAGCGTCATTTCTTGACAGATGAAACCATTTCTCAGAAAACCTACTGTTTGAGGGTGGGAGGTGAAGGGAATATTCATCAGAAGTTTGCTCAATTTTTATCCAGTTTACAAGCTACAGTTCTATTGGATATTGCATTTCTTCATTCACTTGTAGACAAGAATTAAGAACAGATGGTGCCCCCCATTTAAAATATATATGTTCTTGATTGTTCAGCTTTTGGTGTTAATAGACGTTGAGAATTAAGAATTCCTGTGATTGCTTTTTGTATCTCATGCAGTGTAGTTTGAACTGTCTTCATTTTTCTCCCTTTGCTGGATTTTTTTAAAAAATAGGAAAGAGGGAGATAACCATATACTGAACTTAGAATGATGATAAAGCACTAGGGGCTTTGGGGCTTAATACTTAGAACCCCCAGTTATAGGACTCTTTCTATTTGGTAATCTCATTTCAGAGGTTTCTGGGCCGAATAAACTCTGGGAGAGGACAAAGCATTTAACTTTCTGGTGTTTTTATTTTTGTTTTTTTGTACTAATTCAAAAGTCAGAAGTTTGGTTTGGAAGAACACTTCACAGATTTTGAGCTGACTAATAGTAATAGGGCAGAGAAAGGGGACATTCTGACTCTTAGGTTGTGAGGGGACCTGTGTCCACTCTCGTAGATATTTTAAACCACACATGAAGTGATTCTTAATTGGAGAAGAGGCATTGTCTGTTATCTTTGCTAGAGAATATAAATCATAAAGTCATAATTTCTCATAAAAAGGCTTTGATAGTTTCACTTCCTGAAATGTACTGTATAGTTACTATCTTTGTAGATAGTTTTAACATGATATGTTTTACTTAACACTAGAAACGCTCTTACTTTTTTTTCCCTACGGAATCAGAATGTTAATTATGATTTGAAGTTTTTATTAATATTCTTAATAAAGCAGAAGAATGAAAATAAATTTCTAATAATGTAGGTGAATTTCAGAGTTTTATTTTTAATTAGTCCTGAGGAGAAAATACAGGTTCAACCAACATTTGTAGCCAGTTCTAAATTGCTAGAGTTTTCCCAAGGATTACCTTCCTTTTTTAGTCTTAATCTGCTAGCAACATTGAAAAAAAATGTTTTTTTCTGAGAAAATTCAGTCTTCCTTTGCTTTTGTTGACTATATATAATAAATGTGAGAGGGTAGCAGGGCCACCATTTGGCGCCAGACTCTGCAGGACCCTGGGTGTCTTTTAGGTAGCACCCTGCTCCCCTTTGGTTAGACCTTGGGGCTCCAGGAAATGTATTTGTGCTTTTACGTGTGATTGGGTGTTTTCAACATATTGGAGTGACAGCTGGTGTAGATTTTAAAGCTAGAGGGAAAATAACTGAATTCTAGTTCAAGGTCCTGAGGGCAGGGTGTCAAATACTCTTAAAAACAAACTGTCGGAGGTCTTTCTCTGAGTTTATTTCTTATTTCCTCCAGAACTTTGGATGGCAACCTGCAAGATAACTCAATTCCCAGTGCCCTGGAGAGGAACCTTCCCAGTTTTTATGGATTCTTGGCTTCTGTTGGCCAAATTGCTTTTTTCACTTGTGCAATAGATATGATTAACCTTTGGGGTTTGTGTTCTTTCTGTGATTACAACATGAGGAAATACATTCCTTTGGTATTATATTCTAGTGGAATGCGAATTTTAGGGATGGTGTAGCATCTAAAAGGGGACATTGTGATATATCAGTGTTATCTAGAAGATATATGATCTTTGTTTTGCTAATTGGATAGCTGACCTTTTTACCATCTCACACAATTTAACAGTTAAAGGGTGATTAAGCTGTTAAAAAAAAAAGTGACTGTTTAAAAAAAAAGTGCTTGCTGACATCATCTTTCCGAGAACACTAGTATAAGTGATTTACTATAACAAGATCGTAGTTTTTCCTGTTGGCAAATGACATGTAATATTTACACAGAGGTCTTGGGTTCAGTCCAGCAGAAACATCTCAGATAAATTGATGTGTGAAACTGTAGCCATTTAACATTTTCTTTCATATGGAGATAATGTAAACAGTTTTTTGTTTTGTTTTTTAAGTTTAAAAGTGGGGAGAAAAAGGATATTTAGTATAAATTTCCTTCAGGGGAGCAGTTTAAATCGAATGTATTCTCCAGAGTTAAACATCAGACGTGTTCGGTTTATAATTCAGTTACATTCTTCTGACAGTTGTATATTTAGGATACTAAGCCTGTGTTAACTCTGTTATTATGCACATGCCTTCTCTCTCTGAGAAATCTTCTCCTTTTCCATCAAAATGATATAAGGTAAAGTTTTGTAGACTACATATTTACATCAGCATAAATTCTAAATCTGTGAGGTTTTTACTTTTTTTAACCCTAAAGCATGATTTTTAATGGCTCCATTAAAGTAGTACGTCTTTCATATATACTGTAATTTAACTGTTGTTGGACATTTTGGAAATTTGTGTTATTTCCCCTTTTGTGTGTTACTGTTAATCCCTGTGTCTGTCTCTGGCTATATGCATTGGTTTCATTCACAGAAATGGGAACCTTGGATTTTAAAGGATTTACACCTGTTACTCTAAACCAGGCATCTGAAAAGTTCTCTTATAGTTTCATCTAGTGCTTACTAAGGGGCTAGACGTGGCCTGGACAGCACTGGGCATTATCATTTAAAAAACTAAAAACAAACAAAAAATTTTGCCCAAATTTTTTAAATAAAAAAAAGTTATCTTTTCATTTTAATTTGTATTTCTTTGATTAATAGTGAGGGTAGTCTTTTGTGTATTGTCCTTGTTCACTTTTAAAAACAGGGTCTCTGTCATTTCTTATTGATTTATAGGTACTCTCCATATCTTAATGCTTTGGTTGTATTTTGGTTTTTCTTAGTAGGATTCATGACATTTTCTTAATTTTTGAGGCCTGTTTTTATAATTGATGTATAGTGGACATACAGTATTATATTAGTTTCAGGTGTACAGTATAATGATTCAACATTTATATACATTCTGAAATGCTTATTACCCCAATAAGTGTAATTACCGTCTGTTACCATAGAAAGTTATTACAATATTATTGACTATAGGGGCGCCTGGGTGGCTCAGTGGTTAAGCGTCTGCCTTCGGCTCAGGTCATGATCCCAGGGTCCTGGGATCAAGCCCCACATTGGGCTCCCTGCTCAGCGGGAAGCCTGCTTCTCCCTCTCCCACTCCCCCTGCTTATGTTCCCTCTCTCTCGCTGTGTCACTCTGTGTCAAATAAATAAATACAATCTTTAAAAAATATATATTATCGACTATATTCCCTATGCTGTACTTTCCATCCAGGGGACTGACTTAAAACCGGAAGTTTGTAACTCTTAATACCCTTCACCTATTTTGCTCATCTCCCCACCCTCCTCTCTGACAACCACTGGTTTTGTTCTGTGTTTATGAGTCTGTTTCTGTTTTTTTGTTTGTTTTGTTCTTTTTAGATTCCACATATAAGTGAAGTCATATGGTCTTTGTTTGTTTTTGCCTGACTTATTTCAATTGGTATAATACCCTGTAGGTCATCCATGTTGTTGCATATGGTGATATTTTTACTTTTAAAAGCAAGAAATATATTTAAACTAGATATATTTATATTGTTGTAACACAATCTAAGTAATGAAGCATCTTTAGTTGTCTTGTAAAGAATTAGAACATTCCAGGGTGCCTGCTGGTTCAGTCAGTAGAGCATGCGACTCTTAATCTTGGGTTTGTGAGTTGGAGCCTACTTAAAAAAAAAAAAAAGAGGGCTCCTGGGTGGCTCAGTTGCTTAAGCGACTTCTTTCGGCTCAGGTCATGATCCTGGAGTGCCAGGCTCGAGTCCCACATCGGGCTCCCTGCTCAGCGGGGAGTCTGCTTCTCCCTCTGACCCTCCCCCCTCTCGTGTTCTCTCTCTCTCATTCTCTCTCTCTCTCTCTCAAATAAATAAATAAAATCTTAAAAATATATTTTAAAAAAAAGAAAGAAAAAGAATTAGTGTATTCCATCTGTATTTAAAAATTTTTAGCTTAATTTAAATATAATTAAGTACTGAAAATTATTTAAATATAGTTGAATGCAGGTCAGTTGTGGAATGAAGAAAATGAACTGTAGTTACCATGATTTTTTGTAGATAGACCTATCAGTTCTTAGGCACCAAGATTCTAAATGATCCTTTTACTTTTAGGACGGTAGGTGCCTTATTCCTTTTACTATATTTTACTCTTTGGTCAATTTTTCTAGTTACGGTAGCTAGCCTACTACAAACAAAAGCATTTGCAATACTACAGTAACAAACAACAAGATTTCATTTTTATACTTCCTTTGCAAAAGGGAATAATTCAGGACTTGACTCAACTCTCTGTGGTGGTAATTTATTTTTCTTTGTTTTGTTTTTTCTATCATTTTATAAATACTTAGAACATTAATATTAAAGTAAAAAAAGAAATGAGAAGTTTGAAATGACAATTATGGTTTATCCTTCTCTGTTTCAGATGATCACAGTCGTGTTAAGCTGCAAAATGCTGAAAATGATTATATAAATGCCAGTTTAGTTGATATAGAAGAGGCGCAAAGGAGTTACATCTTAACACAGGCAAGTGATGTGATGTCAAGCAGATGCTTTGCAGTGCAGTTATTGTGGTTGGTCTGCTTTGAAACACAGCTAAAAGGATGTCTTTACTTCTTTTGGAAATGAAATGCCATTTCAGTTTTTTCTGTTGTTATGTACTAAAATGTAGACATTTCAGTGTTTTGCAGGTTTGTATGTGAATATGAAATTAAAGTTATTTTTAAAAAGGAAAATTTTTTAACAAATGGCTTATACCAGTTTTTTTAAGGCAAATTATCATCCTTTACACTGATACAAAATGTTTGTTAATGCTTTGTTAAGTTCTCTTCACATAATCTGTATCATGACCAGAGGCCCTTTGAAGGCCCTTCTGGACCCCCTTCTCTGGCATGTATTTTCAGAGGATATGAACATGCTTCAGTGATGTCTGGCCTTTGTTCAGAGTGAGGGTGGTAAGGCCAGGTGCCCAGAATACTGGCTGGGAGGCCAGAAAGCATGAGGGTTCCTTGTGGCATTCTGACTGACTGCTTCTTGGCACATTGGCCACACCCATATCCCAGCACTATTCTTTCATTCTTTGATAATAGAAATTATTTTGGTTTATCCACACCAGCTGCCCTTTATCAAATGACAGAGGCTTAATGAGCAGTGCTGTTATATCCCCCAGTTAATGATTTTGAAATTCAAAAGATAAGCTATAAGTTCATAATATTTGAGCTTTTTAAAAATTTGGATCAGAATAACCTGTTATTGAAAGAGACAACAGTTTCATATAGTAAAAAGATCTTCTATTAGACTATTTCTAATTGACAGGAAATGAAAAATAATTACTTCATTTTACTTAAAGTAGCTGCTATATGTTAAAAAAAGAAAAAGAGAGGGGCACCTGGGGGGCTCAGTCGTTAAGCGTCTGCCTTCGGCTCAGGTCATGATCCCAGGGTCCTGGGATCGAGCCCCGCATCAGGCTCTCTGCTCGGCAGGAAGCCTGCTTCTCTCTCTCCCACTCCCCCTGCTTGTGTTCCCTCTCTTACTGTGTCTCTCTGTCAAATAAATAAATAAAATCTTTAAAAAAAGAAAAAAAGAAAAAGAGAAACTATGTAAAAAAAAACTGGCAAGGAACATAAATTCACAGTTAAAGAAAAATATAAAGGTATACAGTACACCTATGAAAAGATACTCAGTTTTTCTAGTCATTAGGGAATATAATTTTAAACCAGTGTTCAGTTATCACTTTTCACCAGTGAAAATAGCAGAGATTTAAAAGTTACTCAGTGGTTAAATATGTACAGACATAAAGATATATGTGAGGGTGTTTGTTGCAACTTAATTTTAATAGCACAGGACCAGAAATAATAGGACAGAAATAATCTGTGAGGGACTGGCTAAATAAATTACACATATACCATTAATATTGGTTATTTCTAAGAATTAGGAATAATTAGACTTTAATTTGTTGTTTTCTGCCTTTTTGTAATATTTGGAGCTTTTCTTATGAGTATTCATGAATTATTTATTTATTTTTGTGTGTGTGTGAGTAAAGCGATAGAAGTTTATTAAGTGAGGATACAGAAAAAGCTCTCGAGTGAGAGCGGTCCCAACAGGGTTGCCCTCAGGACATCTTTAATAAACTCATTTTTAGAATTTTAATTTACTTTTTATCTGAAAAAACTATAATGTTCAAAAATAGAGAAAATAATTACCCTAGATCCCTTATCACACTCCTTTCTTCCTCGCTCTCTTCTTTTTTCCCAGTCTTGTTCATAATCCTAAATTTTGTAGGTACTTCTCAGGGTTCTGGTTTAGGAGTTATTTCCCCTTTTTCAGTCTATACTAGAGACTTCAACTCTCTGGAACCATATGTTCAACCTTTGTATCTTAAGAGAATGTAGACACTGGATTCACAGCATCTGTGCCCAAATCCTGGTCCAACTACTTCATTGGGTATTCATTCATCTGACAAAGATTTATTGAGTACCTACTCTGTGGTAGGCATTGTTTAAATAAAACAGACAGTGGGGCGCCTGAGTAGCTCAGTCGGTTAAGCATCCTACTCTTGATTTCAGCTCAGGTCATGATCTCAGGGTTGTAAGTTCCAGCTCCACATCGGGCTCCATGCTGGGTGTGGAATCTGCTTGAGATTCTCTCTCTTTCCCTCTCCAACTGCCCCTCCCCCTTCTTAAAATTTTTTTAAAAATTAAATAGACATTAAGCAAAACCCTGTTGTTATGAACTTTATTTACATCATAGTAGGAAATAAAATTAATAACAGCTAGCAGTTTTGTAACCTTATTCTGTACTTTATGTGTTTTGTATAATTTAAGGCTCAGGATAACTCTCTGGTAAACACTGTCATCACCCTGGTTTAATGCACGAGGAATTAGCTAAAGACCAGGTACATTAAACTTTACCAAGCCCATACAACAAGTGAGTTGAAGCCAGAATTTGAAGCCCATTGGCTCCATGGGTCATGCTCTTAATCATTCAGCTCTACAACCATAAGATTGCTGTGTGACCTTGGACAAGCTACCTAACTCCCCAAGCCTATATATATATATATTTATATTATAGATGTATACCTATATTATCTGTGAAACAGTGCTGAGTGAAACTCTTACAGTTCCTGGTACTGTGGTAAGCCCTCCATGGATTATTCGTTGTGGCATTTGTTACTGCTTTTTATTAGTAGTAGTAATAGAAGTAATAATAATCCTCTCATAAAATTTTGTAAATCCCATAATGATAAAGAAATTGCCTATTAATTGTGTTTAAGTGTCCTGTCCCTATTGGACTGCTCTGTGTGACCTGACAGAGCTCCCTGCATTTAGAGCTAGAGGACTCAAAAGGCTGTCTTTAGCTTTTTATTCTTTCCTGAATTTTCCCCCTATATTTTCCAGGTCTTAACTGGATATTTTTACCCAGATGACTCATTTACATTGCAAATTCTGTATTTTCTACATCTAACTTTTTTTTTTTTTTTTTAAACCAAGCCAGCTCCCTTCCTGTTTTTCTCACCTGGGTTAAAGCTATGCTCATCATCTACCGAATCCTAATGCAGTTGCTTTTTGTTTCCTTGCTACCAATCCCTCCCTTCCTAATCCAGCTTTAGCAATGCCTTCAGAATTATTTTTTGTAACATACAAATCTGATGATATCGCTTTACTTCTTAAAAAGTTTGGTGACTATTTCCTGTATTCAAGACCCTCCACACTCTATACAGTGTGATTTCCTACTGCATACTTACCTCTACTTTGCCCTCATTGATTTCTTTGTCCCTCCCAGATGTACCCTATACTTGCACGTGCCTTGTCTTATGCTTGGAATGGGCCCTGACTGGCTCCCTATCCTTCTACAACGCCTTCCTGTATCAGTGCCCTCCTCATTTTTAAGGCTGTGCTGTAGCATCCTTTCTACTCTCGAAGATCTGGTGGTTCACCTCTTACTGTTGTGGCACTTGAGATGTTTCAGTTAGTAGGACAAGGACTTCTCCTTGCCTCTTAGTAAACTCTTTGAAGGCTGAGAATATTTTACAGGACAGAGAAAACTAGAGATGCTGAATGTTTATAAACCTTAGCTGTTCTAATTGTCCTTTGTTGCTTCTTTTTGTCACCTTTTTCCTCTGAATTTTTTTAAAAAATATATCAGTCCTTGCTATAAATCTCCATTTCGGGGGAAAAAATTTGTTAATGTTGCTTGTAGGTGGAAGAGCTGAGAGATACCCTCCCCACCAACCACCTTAGAACCACTGACAGAATATGTTTTGTGTTTCCATATGTATAGACACTGAGTGACTTCTGGTGAATTGATAGATCGATTTTTTCAGATGAAAGAAAAGGCTTTCATTTTACTGGGGATTTTCTCACTTTGTTTTGTTTTAGAAGTAGATCAAGTAATAGATAATATACATTAAGTGAGTAGAACAGTATCTTCAAACATTTGGTTGTCATTACTTAGGATTCTAAGTAGACTTCTGGCCTTTTTATAACTTAGAAGCTTAGAGTTTATTAATTTAAATAATATTAATAGAACATCTGCTACAAACCAGGGAATACAATTGCCCAAAAGATGCTTTCAGCCTCAAACCATGTGAATCACCTTGTTTGACATGGGAAGCTGAAGTTCTAGGAGACCTGGCCTCCAGCCCCTAAAGCTGCCCCTCCCTCTGTCCTGTGAGGAAAATGCTTGCTGACTTGCGTTAGCTGCAGCAGAGCCTCATTCATTTTCACCTTTAACATTAGTTATAATTTGACCATGGCCTTTTCATCTCCTATTTGCCCTTTCTTCTGCCCTGTGCTACCGCCAAGCAAAATGTGAAGATAACTGGCTTTGATTTTTTTTCCCCCATGGCAGTACTGTAATATGAACGATTGCCCCTTTTAAGTCCTCTGTTGAGGTCGCACATGCTGTGGTTTTTGCAGATTAACAGCTTCTTAGTGGTTCAGACACTTTGAAATTTCCGCTTTTTCTGGAAATCTTGTTCTAGTTAACTTGGGGTGGTTGGTTGGTCAGTGACGGCACCGATTTCCTCTTTTGTAGGACTGCCATGATCCATGGCAGGCAGGGCCTCTCTTCCTGCTGTGGAAGCTGAAAGGGACAGAGATTTCCTTTGCAGCTAGAACATGACCAGTCAGTTATCCCTGCCCGTGGTTTTGACTCCGGTTTGTTTAAAGGTTATGCGTGATGGCTGTAGCCACCTTAGCACTGGCGATGCCAGGAAAGCAAGGTGAGAGTAGTACCAGCGTCAGGAGCACTGTGCCAGGCTGACTCCTTTGAGCAGAATCTTGCCTTTACATTGGTTCCCACTGAAGCCTGGCTTTCCAGCCCTCAACTCTGAAAGTCATCTGATAGCCTGAAAGATTCCTTTTCTGCCTAAGTCAATAAAAGTCGGTTTTGATCATTTATAAGCAAGTAGTACAGACCTATTTTTTTAACTCAAGTGGATTTAAAGTCATGATTTACTTATTATGATTCAATACATTGTTCTTAAACCGGAAGCATACTTGAGGGAATTTTCCTTGAACCTTGTTCCATCTCCTTTCTCTTACCTCCTTTTTCTTCTCTGTTCTTACAGGGCCCGCTTCCTAATACAGGTTGCCATTTCTGGCTCATGGTTTGGCAGCAAAAAACCAAAGCAGTTGTCATGCTAAACCGAGTTGTGGAGAAGGAATCGGTGAGTAATACTTAATATTTACAACTTAGTGTACTGCCTGTATCGTTAGCTTATAAATGTTTTCATACTTCTTTTGGGATAGTCATTCATTTACTGGTTTTGGCCTTGAATTGCTAAAGGCTAGTAGTCAGGGTATTTCTGACCAGAAGTAGTATATCCTTTTCCTTTCTTGCCTTAAGTATTTAAGTAATAGTTGTACACCACTACCTTCTAAGATGTAAATGTAATGAAACAAATATTGACCAGTGGTGACAAAGATCTTTGGAATCCCTAGGCTTTATTAGAATTTTTATAATTATTATCAAAATCTTGAGAAGTTTAGAAAGGATTAAAGTGACAGGTTTTTGTTAAGCTATATGAATTTTTATTGGCTCTTAGGTCACGAGACAGTAAGTTTGGGAATGTATAAATATATTAAACTTGAGGTACAGTCTAAACACAGTGCTAATTAGTTAAGTCTTTTAACTTTTGTAGCTTTAGATCCTTTTCTGTCAGAGAAGCAAATTGGAAAGTATTGTCAGTAAGGTCTCTTCCAGCCTAAGATCTTCTTCGGATTCCTGATTCTTTTTTATAAATTCATATTTGGTGGCTTTCGATGGTGCTGCAAATTATTCTACTCTCTTTCTAATCCTGAGTGGCATTCACATACCAGAATGTCCAGCAATATTGGCATAGTTATTTACAGTGGCTTTTTCATGGCTTCCAGTGTGACTTAAAAATTAAGTGATGATGACATTGTTTGAACATTTTGAACAGCATTGCAAAGTAGATGATTTATAAGTTTCATCTCTCCTCTTGGAGCATAATTAGTATATTAATAAGATAAGACTGTCACTAGAAATTAGAAGTCATATTTATGGTGGTTGGATCTAGATGCTTAAAAAGATTCAGGTTTAATTATTTTGGGGAAGATTACTTCATGAGTGATACTGTTTTGTTTATGAAGAAGCCCATAATGTCTGATTATCTTTCTTTTTGCGGCGTTAGCAGCCATTGCTGGTCAGTGCTTATTAGTTCCTTAATTAGTTACAGGTTACAAAATAGTGATACTCCAATTTTACCATTTCTTCTTAAATTTTTGTTGGAATACTTCTATGGAAAGAAACTTTCGGAGTGCCTGACTCTTGGTTTAGGCTTATGTCGTGATCTCAGGGTCGTGAGATCAAGCCCCACGTTGGGCTCTGCACTCAGCATGGAGTCTGCTTAAGTTTCTGCTTAAGTTTCCCTCTGCCTCCCCTCCCCTCTTTCTCTCTCTAATAAGTAAATCTTTAAAAAAAAAAAAAGAAAAAAGAAACTTCCCTTCTAGTTAGTTGACCACTTTTATATAGGAAAAGGAGTTTACAAAATAGTTAATTCCCTAGTGTCTTCAACAGGTGACCAGTTAGGTTTTTTTGATGTGGGGGCAGGGGCAGGAGGGGATCAATTATTATGAACTCATAGATTTTTTTTTTTTTAAGATTTTATTTCTTTATTTGACAGAGACAGCAAGAGAGGGAACACAAGCGGGGAGTGGGAGAGGGGGAGAAGCAGGCTTCCCACTGATCAGGGAGCCTGATGCGGGGCTCGATCCCAGGACCTTGGGATCATGACCTGAGCTGAAGGCAGACGCTTAACGACTGAGCCACCCAGACTCCCCTGAATTCATAGATTTAAACATCTTTGATGTACTTCACTCCATTGCAGTTATTATCCGTCTTAGTAGTTGAATTATTCCTCTGTTGGCTAGCAGGAATCTCTTCAAGTTGGGCTCTGAGTCAGAAATCTAAGAGATAAAACCAAAGAGTCTTTAATAATTTTCTTACTATCTGGAATGACTGCTTAACCTCTTCTTCATAGAATCAGTCATTTCTCTAGGAACCTTGGTTTCTTTTATTGGGCAGTGATATTTCAACATGACAATAAAAATAGGGATGTTGGGACGCCTGAGTGGCTCAGTTGGTTAAGCGTCTGCCTTTGGCTCAGGTCATGATCCCAGGGTCCTGGGATTGAGTCCTGCATTGGGCTCCTTGCTCGGTGGGGAGCCTGCTTCTCCCTCTGCCTGCCACTCTCCCTGCTTGTGCGTGTTCTCTCTCTCTCTCTCTCTGACAAATACATCAAATCTTTAAAAAAAAAATTAGGGATATTTACTGATGCTGGGTTGATCATTGTTTTTAGAGCTTTTTGGTGAACAGAGCTAAGGAAAAAATGTGTTTGTGTTAGATAACACATTTCAAGGATTCATACTGATACTTCCAATTTAAATTTAGAACTGAGGGGGTTGGCTTAATGCATTCTACCTTATATCTGTTGCCTCCTTTTTCCATACCATGAATCCTGCTTTTCAAAGACACAATGGATAAAGAATATCTTACAATGACTCATTTACTTTGTCCCATGTTATACACCAGAATGACTCATAATAAGAGTATCAACTCCATCACCAAAATAATTACTGAAAAAGTTTTAAATTTTTTATGTTTTTCCCTCTCTTTCTGTTTTTAAGTTGTACTTTACCTACATTGTCAGAGTATATAACATAACTACAGTCTTTCTCTTATATCCCTTGTAAAATCTTAGTTCTACGTGTAAATATATATTTAATTTACATTGTCGGTCTTATTGATGTCTCTCCAGTTGTTCTGTAGATATCTCATTCTGTAGTGCATCCTAAGGAAGGGACTCATGGGCGTTTTAGTTCCTGATTTCTTCCCTGTCGATGAGAGTTTAATCTGCTGTCTTAATGCTTAAAAGTCACTTTGACAGGATATAAAATCTTGGCTCACATTTGCTTTTCTTTGAGCAACTTAAATACATTACTCCATTTCCCTTCCCTTTGGCTTTAGAGATTACTGACAAAGTCAGTTGGACATCTGATTTTATTTCCTTTGCAAGTCATGTGTTCTTTTTATCTAGGTTACCCAAAGGCTTTTTTTTTCTTCAAATCCCATTAATTTTACCAAAATATGTCTTAGTGTTGGTCATTCTGGGTCAGTTTTTCTAGATGCGTAGTATGCTCTTTCAATTTATGATTTTTTAAAGAAGAATATTGATTATACTTGTTAATATTTACTGTTTGCTTGCTTTAGTGTTCTTTGGATCCTATTCACGTTAGATTTTCTTTGCTTATTTTTATATTTGTCACTTTCTCTTAAATCCTGTTGTCACTCCATTTCTTTTATTATCTGCTGTGTTTAATTCATGCCTCTGTTCCTTTTAGTTTAGTCTTCATTTCTGAAATGGTGTGTTCTTTGATTCCTAATTTTATTGTCTCCTGTCACCTCATTTCTGAGTTGTTCTCATTCTCCTTTATGCTCTTTCACTTATTGTATCATATTTAAAGTGTCTTTTAGCACCTTTGGAAGTATCAGCTCATAGTAATTATTTGTTTGGAGGTGTTGTTACTGTTTGTGATTTGTAGCTGTTTGTGATTTGGAAAAGAAATGACCATATTTTATAAGGATATTTTTGTAGTGTTTTTTTTCGTAATGAAGTGGCTCTTTATCTCACCTTGCCACAGTCTGTTGGTCTCATGATTTGGCTTTTGGGAAGATCCTTTTATTGTCACAAATAGGAATTCCATATTAGTAGTTCTGCCAAAATGTACCAACTCTAGATAAAGAGGGCTTTTCTTCTTTTTTTAAAGATGTTGTTTATTAGAGTGCGTGCGCACATAAGCAGGGGGAGGGGCATAGGGAGAGAGATAAGCAGGCTCCCCAGGCACAGTCCTGGGTAATGTGATAGAGTAAATATTCTTAATATTTCAGTATTTCCTATATTTTTTAAAAACCGAAAATCCGCTGAGTGGGGAGCCCAACACGGGGCTCGATCCCAGGACCCTGAGATCATGACCCAAGCCAAAGTCAGATGCTTTTTTTTTTTCCTCCTAATTAAATTTTGTTTATTAATATATAATGCATTATTTGTTTCAGGGGTACAGGTCTGTGATTCATCAGTCTTACACAGTTCACAGCGCCCACCATAGCACATACCCTCCCCAATGTCCATCACCCAGCCACCCCATCCCTCCCACCCCCCTCCACTCCAGCAGCCCTCAAGTTTTTTTTGTGAGAATAAGAGTCTCATGGTTTTTCTCTCTCTCTGGTTTCATCTTGTTTCATTTTTCCCTCCCTTCCTCTATGATCCTCTGTCTTGTTTCTCAAATTCCTCATATCAGTGAGATCATATGATGCTTGTCTTTCTCTGATTGACGAAGTCAGATGCATAACTGACTGAGCCACCCAGGCACCCCAGAGGGGGCTTATCTTCTGATTTATTTCCCTGACTTAATTTTAGTAAGTGAATATACAATGTTATTTCTAGATAAATAGTATTTCGTAGCAGATTCATGGGTATTTGTAGGAAATTCTTGTAAAATGAAGCCTTTTCAATACTGTTTGAAGAAAAGATTCTTACAAGAGGTTGATAATTTTGGAAATGTAAAGTGAATGCCAGTATGATGTTAAAATATAGGTTATCATGCTTTAGAAATGACAAATTCACTTTTATGAACATATCTGTTTATGGCTTTTTTTTTTTTTACTATAAGTTATAGGAACATTTTACAAACCTTTTATAAAATGTCAATCTTACTAAAATACATTGAGCATCAGATATAGTGCAATTGTTCATAGATTTGGGTACTTGAAAAAAATATAGCATGTGTATGTGTGTGGTTTGTCTTCCTTTCCCAGCTTTTTAGGGTTTCATAATGTCTAGGAACTAATATCTACATATTCTTAAATTTAGGTTAAATGTGCACAGTACTGGCCAACAAAAGATGATCGAGAGATGCTGTTTAAAGAAACAGGATTCAGTGTGAAGTTTTTGTCAGAAGATGTGAAGTCATATTATACAGTACATCTACTGCAGTTAGAAAATATCAATGTAAGACTTTTCATGCCTAAAAGATTGGACTTTATATATTGCTGATTTTCAGAATTATTTTATGTCATTAGATTTGAAGTTTGGGGCTGCATATACATTTCGATAGTATCTATAATAGTATATAGTCATAAGCATGGTGTTTACATTGTGTTTCCTACATGCGGTAGCTCTCTGAGGACTCTTGAGAAAACCTAGAAACTAAGGATTTTAAAGTTCAGGTTGAGATATGAGGATTGAAGATAATTTATTAAGATTACTTGGGGATGAAGAGAGAGAGAGCTTTATAATCAGGCTAACCTGAATTCAAATCCCAGCTCTGTTGTTTAGTAGAAATATCCCTGGGACCTGTTCCTCAACGTCCCTCATCCTTTCCTCGTCTGGAAAGCAGAGATTGTGATAGCACCCTTTCAGGGCTGACGTGGAGATCAAATGAAGATGTGTGCGCAGAGCAGCTGATGTAGAATACGTGCCCAGTCAACATGGCAGCACTTGGTGCTTCTGAGAGTGGCAGGCCAGTCAAGAAAATAACTTACTGGAATGTTGTTAATTCAGATGATTCACCACAGAGAAATTTGTCCTTACTGAATTGGGGAAAATGGTGAAATAAATTTAGCATATGGTCCCAAGAACATTCATATGGATCTTTTCCAGAAATACAAGAATTTTTCCTTATTTCTTGGTTGAGATAAACGTACATGGTGGATTTGTGAACCTGCTATTTTCAAGTTGGGGGTCAAGACCTTTCTCCCCTTTTCACCACCTACCTGTTTTGCCTTCTTTGTGTTGTAATCAGGATAACTGGAAAATATGAAATGAGAGTGATTCTGGGATGCTCTTAGGAGCTAGGAAAACTAGAAAATAGGAAAATATTTGTTGGCCAAAAAATGATTGCAGGAATGTATCTAGTCTGTATAGTGAGATACTGTTTTAGTTAACCATTAACTGAAAGAAATTATTAACATGGGATCATTGACCAAATAAGTTTTATAGAGAAGAGATATATAAAGTGCATACACACACACACACACACACACACACACACACTTTTAGATACGAAGAAATACATTTTAAGGTTGATCTCTTGAAACGCCTGTTTTTTGCTGCCTACTGTAAGCACAGGTGCGTACTGTTGAGGGCCCAGGCCCAGCTTCCCATGACATCCGTAATTAAGTTTTTATGTGATCTCTTAGGTTATCTGAGAAGTCTCAAGGTTGGGAAATACAAGACTTAGATTTATTTATAAATTTCCCTTATTTGTAGTTTTTTGCACCAACTATTCCATTTACATATGTCTTAAGCTGCCCTGAGATACATCAACAACTGTTTGATCCTAGATTGTGCAGTACTTCTTGCCAGAAATAGAACTGCTTTTCTATAAACTTCTCATGATTCTTTGCATCATCTTCTCTTGGTATTTATCCCAGGTACCTCATCTGCTTCTGGCCTAAAAACTGATAGGAATGGAGAAGGGCATAGGTGTTTTTCCCTGTTTCTGAAACCTGTCCTACCTAATTAAGAGTTAATTATACCTTAATAATAAAATAAAATGCGTTTTGTATTTTATCATTTTGTAAAGCACTTTTACATATAATTTGACCCACAGTCTTCCTATAATGTGATAAATATTCTTAATATTTCAATATTTCCTATATTTTTTAAAAACCGAAAATCCATTAAGGTTATACGATTTTTCCTGTAAATAGATTACTCAGCTAATAAGTGACAGGCCAGAACTCAAATCCCGATCTCCTGACTTGGAATGACATGGGGCTAATAAGTCTTTTGAAAAAAGTGCTAATTGTCCTAGTAAAGGAAGATTCTTGGTTCAAAAGCATCTTTCTGAGTTGAAGCATGCGAACTGTCCAACCACTGTTTCAGTTGCTAGCAACTGTGTGATTTCTTATTGGCCTGGGTTCAGAGTACACCATAATTAATAGCAACAATATGTTTACATTCTACCTTAACAATCTTTAGTAAGAACTAGGAATGTTAGAAGAAGAAAGTAGCATTTCAGCATGAGAAGCAGAATTGTATTTGGTTAAGTATGTACACTCTGGATCCAGATTGCCTGAGTTTAAATCCCAACTGTACGCCTCCTGGTTGTGTGACTGGTCCCACTATTTACCCTCTGTGCCTCAGTTACTCATGTACAGAATGAGGATAAGGACACACGTACCTCAGAGGGTTGCTGTAAGGATCAAGTGAATTAATGCTGTAACAGGCCTAAGACTCCATGCAGGATTCCCAATTAGTAGCTTTAGTTGTGTGCGTCTGTTTCCTTTGTCATATCAATGAATTGGGAAGGACTGCAGAAAGAACAAGTTGAGGGAGAAAGAAATACCAAAGGAGTGAGAAAGGTGATGCTGCAGGTAAGGAGTGGTCACCAACCTCACGCTGAGCTGCAGAGAACCAGTTTGTTGCTAAAGGAGTCTGACTTGTCTGTAGTAACAGGTCTAGGGCCTAAGCTGTGGTTTGTGTGGGCCCTGCTCTTTTACAGACCTCTGGTCTAAGGGAGCAGTAAAGCTGCACACCAGCTGCCCTTTCCAGTATCTTCAGTAGAGCCAAGAGTTTGAACTTTTGCCCATGAATGAAGAGATTCCATCTCTGCTTTTAAAGCAGCCCCGTGGCTTAAGCTAAGGGGAAGGTTTTGTAGGGCTTTTAAAATATAAGGTCATCTAGAGTGCTTATTTGTCTTTCAGGATTTTCTTTTTAGTTGCCCTTCACTATTTTCCATAATATTGTTGGCCAGCTTTATGTTTATCAAGTTCCAGGAATACTATTGTAATGCTGGCTGCCTTCTATTTCTCTGTCCCTGTAGATTTGCCCAAAACAGGATGAGTGCCTAATTATTACCATGCTTAGCTGGGATTTGATTCAAAATAGTTTAAACAGTTTATCCCACCTGGAGTGTCATCCTCTCTTCTCTGCCTGTTTATATCCTGCACATCCTTCAGGACCACCTTGTGACCCATTTCTTACTTTGGTCTTTCTTAATTCATCTATGACGCATTCATTCCTAATAGCTGTAATCTTACACTTCTCTCCATAATTTAAGTTTTCCGTTTTACTGGCTTATTTAGTACTTGTGTATGTATGTACTTTGACTCCCATAACAAGGTTTTTGGCTCCCCATGGGTAGAGTCCTTACTTGTTACCTTTGTGCTTCCTTCTGCCATTGCACCGAGTGAGTGGTTATTCTAAAATAAAGGCATAATCCTTCCACCTTGCTCTAAAAAATCTTTCTGTGGCTAATGCAGAAGTCCAGGACCCAGCCCGGACTGGTCCTTCCTTCTTGTCTAGGCACTCAGGGTTTGTTCTTGCTAACAGTCCTACACTCCTCAAATAGGTTGATTCTTGGAGGCCCACACCTCTGTGTATTGCTTTCTCTCTGCTTAGAATGCAAGCCCCATGCCTACCTGTTTCTGTCACTCTCCTCTCCTGATCTGGTGAGGTCTGTTCATCTTTCAAAATGAATTACAGTAACTAAATATTTAACACAGACCATATAATGATCCTGGCAAAAATTGATGAGGGACTGAACTAAGGCACTTACGGTGAGCTACAGATCTCATATAAGTTTGTATTTAGGAGATAGGGTTCACAAACTCTGCTACTTCTTTGTGTAGAGGAAATACTAAGTGAAGCAGTTGAAAATGTGAAGAAGTTTACAATTGATTGGAGCTTACTAGGGGCTACAATAGAGTCAATTAGTATATAATTGTTTCAGAAAAGGTATCTGTAAGTATTTACCGTATGCAGGCATAGGTTAGGCACTTTACATTCACTGTTTCATTTATTCCTCACAATAGCCTTATAGTAAGTACTGTTTTTAACCATTTACAGATGACAAAATTGGGCTTATGATGAAAGTCTTGGAAATACAATCTTGGTACTTCTGTAAATGCCCGAAGTGTGAAAATAATTGGGCCTAGGACCAAAGAGCTGCATAGATTTCTTTGTAATAATTAGAAAATTTATAATCTTATCTGTATAAAATAAGTTAACTTGAATTTGAATGGCTTTAGGTGGCATACACTTAAATTGCCATAAGCCTGACTGTTGCCCATGGTCTTGTACCTACTCAGTTCCTCGCTTATCTTCCTGGCCTCCATATATAATGAATTAGATATCCTTATTCAAGGGTAGAATTCTCCTTCAAAATATGTAAATAAGATTTTGCCTTAAAAAGAAGAGTGAACCACTGACATTTTGTGCAGAGTGTGGTATACATAATGCAGTGTTTTACAAAGAAGATTTGTCAGGGACAACCATGTAATTGCAGATGCAACCAGGTGTGCATGAGGTGTGAGGTCAGCAGTGAGAGGGGATAGAGAGGCCAACTGGGAGGACTGATGTGACTTGATGACCTGGGAGAAGGAGAGGGGGCTTCCACCAGTTTTGAAATAAGGAGTTTGTCAAAAATTGTAAAGTCTACATGTAGAGCTTGTTTGGAATAAAGATGAATTTTGTTTTAGCTCTCTAGCCTTTGGCAATCCTTTTTTCCCTCATGTTTTTTCCAGCACGAAAAAGAGGGAGAAGAGGTCCAGTCAAGCATATAAACATTTCTTTTCTATCTCAGTCTTAAACATACGGATCTTATTGCTTCATGAAGGGGTCTGTTGGGAATTGTATGATTTTTTTGTGAGCTGTGATTTTGAATCTTGTTTCAGTAGGGACACATTAATAAAAGTTAACTTCTTAAGAAGTTCTTTAGTCTGGTCCTGTTAGGGGAAGAAAAAGACTGATTCTCAAAAATCTATTAGTGGGGAAGACTGCATTATACAAACAGTTGTGAACATTTCTGGGAACTGGCTTTGAGTATCCCAGACAGTGTGATCTGAATTTGAAAAAAATCAAGAGACTTCTAGTCTTGAGCCAAAATCATACAAGCGAAAAAAAAGCAAGCAGTTGCTCAGGATTGTGGGTTAACTCTAGGTTTAAACCAGGAGGTGATGCAGTAAATGAGCATAAGTGAGTATACAACGTTACGGGAAGACTGGGCCATACCCTGCAGAGCACAGCTTGCAGGTGAGCCAGGTTCTGGCACCACCCCTCCCAGACTTGGGAGCTCCAGCAGGTCCACACGGGACCTGGTTTAGGCTTACATGGCAAAGCCTGGCCCTGCTACGCAAGGTCAGCACTGCATGGTGGCAAATGACCACAGCACAGCAGTTGTTAGGGGGGAAAAGGGAGTAAACACTCCCACTGGAATCTTAGACCCTATTTAAAGGAAGGTGTGACTTTTGAGTTCTCCATGCCCCTGGGCTATGGCAGGAACAGCCACTTTAACCCATTCCTGTGCTGATATTGTGTTGTTACCTGTCCATTTATGGTTTTGTAAGAAGAAACTAAATTTGGAATGTTTTCAGTGCCTTTTTAAATACAGTAAATTTAACCCCCCCCTTTTTTTACATACAGTAAGCTATAATTTTGAAAGGAAATGTTTTGAAATTTAGGAATCCCAATGATCATTTTAATTAGTAATAGATTTATATTTTCTAGTACCTTCAGTATATTGAGAATCTATGGATCAGAGTGTATTTGGAATTATGAAAGCGAATTTTAAGAAAATTAGTCACTGGGGCACCTGGGTGGCTCAGTCGGTTAAGCGGCTGCCTTCGGCTCAGGTCATGATCCCAGGGTCCTGGGATTGAGCCCCACGTCGGGCTCCCTGCTCGGTGGAGTCTGCTTCTCCCTCTCCCTCTGCCTGCCTCTCTGCCTACTTGTGCTCTCTCTCTATCTCTCTGTCAAATAAATAAATAAAATCTTTAACAAAAAAAAAAGAAAATTAGTCACTAAAAGTAGGTAATTTGAAATTTTTAAAAGAATTTCTGCACTGTATTTTATCAGTGTTATACCTCATATAACAAGTCTGGGACTTAGGAGTCTTAATTTTTGCTAAAAAAAGGGGAAAGTTTATTTTTAAAAAAGGAAAGTTAATTTTGAAAACTTGTACTGAAAGCAGGATGCTGTAATAATAATCTTTAGCTTTTAACCATCAAAATTTTCATGGTGTTTTGCTTTTGTTTTTGTTTTTTTTTCTAATGTTGCTTGTATGGCTTCTCCCTCCAAAAACATCCTACAATGAAACTGAGAAATTGTGCAGAGATATGTTAGAGGGTTACTGCTTCGGTTTACAAAAATGAAGACTAGAAGGCACCAAAGTCCTTCTTGGGGCAAAAGGCAGCTGGCAAAAGCTTAGGAACATTTTCATAATGAGTTAGTCAGAAATAAAGCTCATCAGGAATATCCAGGAAGTGACAGTGAATGCCAGGCAGGCTTTAAGAGACAGGAAGCATTTAGCATATTGGTAAACCATTTTAGCACATCAGCAAAGTCATATAAACAGTTTTAGGATTGGAAATTATTACCACGGGGAAAAGCAGCAATTAGAAGAGCAATTTCAATTAAAATGTAAAGATTGTGTCTTTAAATTAATTCTTGAGTTGCTCCTCTGAGCCTGTGTAGCAGAATCTACAAGATAACTCATCTGATGAGAAAAATTATATCTAAAAATGTTGGGCATTCTTAAAAAGGAAACCATTAAAGAATGTAAAATTATACTGGTAGGATTTTTTTTTAAATAGGAAAAAAAAAGGGCGCCTGGGTGGCTCAGTCGTTTAGCGTCTGCCTTCGGTTCAGGTGGTGGTCCCAGGGTCCTGGAATCGAGCCCCGCATCAGGCTCCCTGCTCAGGAGGGGGGGCCTGCTTCTCCCTCTCCCACTGCCCCTGCTCGTGTTCCCTGTCTCACTGTCTCTCTCTCTGTCAAAAAATAAATAAAAATATTTATAAAATAAATAAATAGGAAAAACAAAAGGAACACTCATCATGATGTATGAATTAAAATATTGGCAACATGTATGGTGTAGGTCGGTGGTTAAGAGCCCAGACTGCTGCTTCAAATTCAGGCTCTGCGAGTGTCTCAAAGTGTCACCTTGGGTAAATTACTTAACCTTTGGCCTCTGTTATCTGGAAAAGGAGTTTTATTAGGATTGTTGTATGGGTTAATACATAAAAAGCTTAGGACAGGCCTGCAAAATAATGTTCTAGAAATGTTAGCTATTATTAAATAAATTCCAAATTCTCCTGAAGAACTCCAAACTTGTGTGATTATCAAAAACCAAATAAAAAATCATGGTACAGAAGTCCATAAGGATTAAAAGCATTAACACAAAACACATATTCTTCCTGAAGTAGTGTTTTCAAAGAAAAGAAATTAGAACTAACTTTTCCCTTGATTTTCACTTTTTAGAGTGGTGAAACCAGAACAATATCTCACTTTCATTATACTACCTGGCCAGATTTTGGAGTCCCTGAATCACCAGCTTCATTTCTCAATTTCTTATTTAAAGTGAGAGAGTCTGGTTCCTTGAATCCTGAACACGGGCCTGCAGTGATCCACTGTAGTGCAGGCATTGGGCGGTCAGGCACCTTTTCTCTAGTAGATACCTGTCTTGTTCTGGTAAGTGCTTCTTATGATCTAATTTTAGTCTTGTTTAATTTTTTATTGTTTTCCCCTGGCAGAAGTAAGCTCTAATGTCTGTATCCCAGAACTGTGATTTTCAAACTTAAACTTCTGCCTTCTTCAGAAAAACCTAAAAAATTTCACTTAACTGCCTCTTATTTGTGAGTGGTGGGGCTCTGTCCAAGATGATTCTAGACATCTCCAAGAAGAATTTTTTTTCCCCCTGGTAGCTTTATTTTACAGAAATAATAGGTCTTCCCCCTTCCTTGTTTTTCAAATATAAATTGATATATAATATTGAATTCCTTCCAACTCAAACAAGCACTACATTTCTCTTGCCCTGAGTTTCCTTATTTACAAACTAAGGATAATGATACTATTTTCCTCACAAGAATTAAGTGAATTAATACATTCAGAACACTTAGAAGAGTCCCTGGTATTTTCTAAGCACTCAGTAAATACTAGTATTATTATTCCCCTGAGATTCCAATCTCTGCCCCCAAGGGCTGTATTCTTTCTTCACCAACCCATTTCCAGCCCCAGCCTGGATATAGGCCTGTGCCTTTTCTTTTTAGAATGTTCATTTTTCCTTAGTTGGGGCATAGGGCATCTCTAGAGTATAGGAATGGTTGAGTCTTAATATACCGACTGTATTACCAAATTTACTATTCTGCCTCTAAGTAATATACTTCAGTCAAAAACTGGATTGTTATAGGGCACCTGGATGGCTTAGTCGGTAGAGCATGCAACTCTTGATCTTGGAGTCATGAGTTGAAACCCCATGTCAGGCATAGAGCATACTTAATTTAAAATTAAAATTAAAAGAAAACTGAGTTGGGGCACCCGAGTGGCTCAGTCAGTTAGGCGTCTGACTCTTGGTTTTGGCTCATGTCATGGTCTTGGTCGTGCGCTCAGTGCAGAGTCTGCTTGAGATTCTCTCCCTCTCCTTCTGCCCCTTCTGCCCCACACTCACTCACTCTCTCTCTCTCAAATAAATAAAATCTTAAAACTGATTGTTACATTAAAGTGAACTTTGACATGTTTAAAAAAAATTCTGTCTATTCACTTAATGGTGAATGACTATTAAAAACTGGGTTGTGTGTTTGTGCCTATTCCCTGCCAGACATAACTTCCACTTTTTTCTTTTTCAGTTTGGGTGAGGGTTGTGCTGGTTATAATACAAGATCAATAGTCCGGAGCTGGTGCAGTGACTTAACAGTATCATTGTGAATCTAAGCTCTTACCGTTTTTCTTCTCCACCATCTTTAAAGATGGCTGCTGGACACAGACATGAAGGCAGAAGGGCACTGGGCAAGTTTACTTCTGTCAAGACCTTTTAAAAAAAAGCAGAACACTAATGTCAGTGGATTTATCTTTACATTAAGCCAGAACTGGTCATAAATTCTTCCTTAGACAATACTGGCCAAAGTAAATAAGATTACTGTGATTGGTTTGGAATCAGTTGTATATCAGCTAAAGGCCTCCATCTACTGCTTGAACAGTTGAGGTGTGTGGAAGGTGGTGGATTGGGGTAGATGTTTTGTACAGAAAGAGTTAACAGCCATGGTCACTTCTTGTTCTTGGGGGAGACACACTGCACATTGCAAAATGCTTAGCAGCTAGCTCTCCTATATTGCTTCTCTTTCCTGGACTCTAACAACAAAAGGCTTGAATAATTTTTACCTTTCTTGCAGATGGAAAAAGGAGATGATATTAACATTAAACAGCTGTTACTGAATATGAGGAAATATCGAATGGGACTTATTCAGACACCAGATCAACTCAGATTTTCATATATGACTATAATAGAAGGAGGAAAATTTATAAAGGGAGATTCAAATATACAGGTAAACTTTTTTAGGGAAATAATACCTGTGTATTATATATGATTAGCATCAAATAACTGTTGCACTCCATTGAAGCACTTGTTTTCTCCCTTCCTTCCAAAAAGCATATTGACATTCATGTGGAAAACCCAGCTGGCCATCTTAAAATTCTGAAGTTTAAGCTCACATCCTCATATATACCTCAGCCTCATGTTAAATCTTGCCTGTTACTCAAAAGCCCTAGTGGGAACAAGATTTTATTAAAGAAAGTGGAATTTTCATATAAGGATAAGTTTAAGCATTTAAGCATTAAAATAAACCAAAGAATTTTGGTAATTTTAGCACATTAAAAACTTGACCTGCAATTATGGAATACTTAGTTTATGTAATAGATGCTTAATTTTGTTAACAGTGAGCAACTTGAGTATTTATGGCAGACATGAAATTCCAGTAGAAAGTTCTGTTTCTCTGGTTTCTGGCTATGCTCTCATGAAGACATTTTTGTTCCACATTTGCAAAAACTAAGTTCAAAGACTGATTATCAGTTATATACTAACAGACCCCTATTTCTTGTCTGATCTGGTCACATAGTATTGGACATAAGTAGATCAAAACTCTTTATGTGTCTCTTATGAACACATATACTGGCTCTTTAATTTCTGTGATTACGAGGCAAGTCAGAAATACACTGAATAAGCCTTCTTTTATAACTCAGACCATCTGTGATAATGGAATTAAATACAAGTTACACTTTCAAAGACATTAAAATACTCTTAAGCAGTTCTGTTTCTCAGCTAACTGTTCTGATCTTTAGTATTATTATAACTATTTAAGACAAACTATTATCAGTAGAATTTAAAGTCTTATGATCTTGCCATTTGCAACAAGATGGATGGAGCTAGAGAGTATAATGCTAAGCGAAATAAGTCAGTCAGAGAAAGACAAATACCATATGACTTCATTCATATGTGGAATTTAAGAAACAAAACAAATAAAGCAAAGGGGAAGAAAATAGAAAGGCAAACCAAGAAACAGAATAAATCTTTAATGAAGAGAAACATTGCATCACTCCATAAAATACTCAGTATTTCGATTAGGCCCACAAAACATGAGACCCTTCTTCAGAAGTCAGACTTTGGTAACACTGGGTTTGCTTGGCAGTGAACCAGTGATTCAGAAGAAGTAAAAGTTATCTCAAATGTTTAAGATTAGGAAAAGGTCTCTCTCTCTCTCTCTTTTTTTTTAATCTCTGAACTTCTCCCCAGTTTGGAGTTGAAAAACTCCAATCTGGAGTTGGAAAAAAGTTAAATAGTTAAACCAAACTTTTTTCACACACTTGTGGCTTCCCTAGTTGTTTATTGCTTATTTCCCGGACGTTCTTATGGACTAATTGTAGAGAAAGTGTGCTGTCCTTTGGATAGTATCCCTCCCTCCACTTTAAAATTTTTTCAAGTTTCCTTAGTTTCAGAATATATACTCATTTACTTTGAGGATCTTTTTCACTACAGAGATGAATTTTATGAACATACTTTTTTGTGGTCTTTATTATTATTATAGCAGTATAGTTTGTGGCTTGGGAGAGTTTTTTTCTGTCTCCGTTTATCTGGTAGGTTATAGCCATCAGAGTTTCCATGTAGCTTCATCCAGCACTCCATGCAAACCCAAGGCATTCTCTGTCCCTTCTTCAGGTAGGATGTTGGAAATGTCTCTGAGTTTTTCGGGTACTCCGGATCAGAAAAGCCTGTTACCCATTTGGAGGGGTCAGTTTCCACAGAAATGGTCTAAGGTTTCCTATAATATATGTGGTGCTGTACTTTTTTTTTATTATAAAGATAATTAATGAGTAAATATATGGATTTGTTTATTTTACATAGGTAGTTTTCTCTGCCTGGAACTTTGCTATCCAATACTGTAGCCATTAACCATACATGTAATTGAGTAATTGAAATTAGGCTATTCTGGGGCGCCTGGGTGGCTCAGTTGGTTAAGCGACTGCCTTTGGCTCAGGTCATGATCCTGGAGTCCTGGGATCGAGTCCCGCATCGGGCTCCCTGCTCAGCGAGGAGCCTGCTTCTCCCTCTGACCCTCTCCCCTCTCATGTACTCTCTCTCATTCTCGCTCTCTCAAATAAATAAATAAATCTTTAAAAAAAAAAAAAAAAGAAATTAGGCTATTCTGAATCGAGATCTGCTTGAAGTATAAAATACACACCAGATTTCGAAGATTAAATACAGGGAGATAAAGTATAAAATATCTCAATAATTTTTAAAGTATTATATGTTCAAATGACAATATTTTTTATATTGAGTTAAATAAAAGATACTGTTAAAATTCATCTTTTTTTTTTTTTTAAAGATTTTATTTATTTATTTGAGAGGGAGAGAATGAGAGACAGAGAGCACGAGAGGGAGGAGGGCAGAGGGAGAAGCAGACCCCCTGCCGAGCAGGGAGCCCGATGCGGGACTCGATCCGGGGACTCCAGGATCATGACCTGAGCCGAAGGCAGTAGCTTAACCAACTGAGCCACCCAGGTGCCCATCTTTTTTTTTTTTTTAAACACTACTAGACATTTGAAAATTGTATATGTGGCTCCCATTATATGTCACTGGACAGTACTGTTCTAGAACCTTAGCTTAAAATAAAAATCTAAGAGAAGTAAAGTTCTCTGAAATCCTAAATCATAAGATCTAAAGTTAATGTAGAAACCTCAAACTGCATGAATATAACTGACCCATAAAAGTATCTCTTTTGACATACAAGGATAGGATAGCCAATTTATAAAAAGACTCTTCTTTCTCTCCATATGTCTACCTCCTCCTCTTTATCTAGGAATTTTGGGAAAAGTTACTATTTGTAAGAAGAACGAAGGAAGCTTCTTTCTGGTGTGAGCACTGTGGCCAGGGGTGTGGGAGGGTGATATCACGCTTCCTGAACCTGTGTATCTTCAGAGAACTGTCTGGTCAGCAGCACCCGAGCCGTATTTCTTTGTTTCTGGTACTTTTTGCTAAAGGGGACATCTGTCTTCACCTTCAGTCTTAATTTGGATTTATATTATGTGAGTGGTATTTTCATTATTGGATAGTTTTATGTTAATTTTCTGTGAAGATTTCTGAAATACAGAGATATAAAGTGATTTAGAACCTGTCAGGATAAAGGAGAGCTGTTAATACATCTAAAGCGATTGTTTCTGAAATCAGTAAATACATGTATGTGTTTATAATCATACAGCATGTATTTAGTTTTGGAAATTTCCAATGATCTTGACCTACCTAGATAAATACAGATTATTTCTAGTTGTCTCTGAGAATATATCATTTACCTCACATCTTTCTTGGCACAAGATTGGGCATAAAAAGATGTTATAGTTACTGGTATTATCACTTACAGTACACTCCCAGTACCCATGATGACAGAAAACCTCACAGAGTAACATATCTAGATTGGCAATTCAGAACTGATGTTGTAAGATCTCTACCTGGTAATTTGACACTACTAATAAAGTAATTACAGTGGGTTTCAAGTTTAATGACATCACTGAAAGTGCTCCTTCGAGGGACTTTCTTCAGTGAGAAATGGATGAGGTTGCCGGTGGTGTGCAGGGCATGGCTCGTAGCAGCGTGTGACATGCGGAGTGTGGTTCAGCATGAGTGTAGATTTAGGAAGATAAACTCTCAGTCCAGATGGCTGTACTCCAGGCCTCCAGATGAGAGCTTGAATGAAGTTGTAGCTGAGTGTGGTATTGATTCCTTGGCTTCCCCAGTCAGCAGTGACAAGCCAAGGCAGGTGACTTTGCTGTTTACTTGCAGGTTACAGGGAAGGCAAAGTTGAGTGAGTTTGCTGCCCAGAGACGTGGCAAAATGACACTGCCTTTTTTTTTTTTTTTAATTCACTAGCATTAAATATCTCCTTTTCTCCACTCCCTTACCCCTTTTGCTGAGTCCTTTTCTTGTTGACAGATTCCGAATTTGTTGCATATTCTGGGAAGTGGTCCAGTAAGATGTGATTTTTGTCATTGTCTTTTGTTTATTGACATTGTTGAGTTTTGTCCAAGTATAAGGCCAAGTTGTTATAACTAGGTCCCCAGGGAAGAATCAAAATTTAAAAAAAAAAATCAAACCTAAATTCTGGAGACAATTTAACAGTTTTTATTGGGTACTTTCTTAAACTATCTGGTATCTGAAGCTGATGAACTTTTCAGAGGTACAAATAATCATGAGGGATTATAGCATTAAAATTTTGGCCCTTTTGTTAATTAGCTGCATAGCCTGGGCAAGTTGCTTCTGTTCTGTTGAAGGGGGATGATGATGATAACAGTAGTAGCGCCTTCCTCCTGAGGTTCTTCTGAGGATTAAGAGCTGGTGCAGCTGAAGCATTAGGTCAGTGTGGGTATAGTAAGTACTTGAGAAGTTTCCCCACGTACATCTTCAATGTACAAAACGCTGTCTGGACTGAGTAACAAAAATGTTGAACGGGAAGAAAGAAAACTGATGTAGTCCTCTAAAGTGAAAACATCTGACTCTTATGTTCCATTATAGCATTTTCTCAAGTATTGACAAAATACTCTTTCTGGATATGGTTTGCATCCTCTTAGGTCCTTGCTCAGGAGAAGTGGGTTCCATCCGATTGTTTCTTAAAATAAGTTCAGAGACTTCTTTCCTTGAGGTCCACTTCCTTTCTGGCTTCATCTCTCAGAGTCAAGCTCTACATGTTCTTCATCTTCTAGTCAAATTGATCAAACTGTCCTACTCACTGTCCTCCAAATGTAGCAAATTACAGAATTTTGCATTCTCTAAATTTTTTGTGAATCAACTACTATAAAAAGATGCATTAATTACGCATCTTAGTAAAATAGCTATATATGGGAAAGGAGGAGTGTGGTAAAATACCTTTTTCTTTTTTAATTCCTCTGTTGTAGGATAATGAAATGAGTGAGAAACTAATTTATCAGTGTATCAATGAATTTTCCAAAGATTTTTTTTTTTTAATAATATACAAGCGTTGTTTTTAACAATGCCATTTTGTACCAAAGCAACTTCAGGGAAGGAGTGTTTCATTAAGTTCCAGACAAGTGTAAATTGCAGGGTTACATTTGTGTTCAAAATCATTACAATCCTCAGGCAATAAGTTATAGAGTCTCTTATTCATTAGGTTCTAGACTCCTTGCTTCTGTGGTAAGATCTTCAAAGAGGGTAACCCCTGTCCGTACCAGGTCATTTTGCACCAGTGTGGATAATCAAAACCATTGGCTCTCACTGCCACCTTTCCTACTCTTGTTATTGGCTGGGAGATGGATGGTTGTGTTTGCAGCCCTTGAAGAATTGAGCTAGAGGTCCCTCATGTTGAGGTTATACTTGCCTTCTCCCTCTCTGGCTAGCACTTTGTCACTGCCTTCATCTTCCAGGGGCTCAGATACACTTTGCACTTCTTCCTCTCTCCCTGGGGATGGTGGCAGTGAGGGCAAAGGAATCTAACATTTGCCAGATACGGTGCTAGGCTTGTTATGTCATTAATCACAATAGGCTCTCGAGGTAGGTGATGACAGCCTGTTTCCTAGAGGAAGGAAATGGAATTTCTCTTCGTCTTGGCCTAAATCCTGCCTCCTGAAGTCTAGGCGTGCTAGCAGAGTATTTTCTAACCTGGTGGTGGGCTAGCTTACCTGGAGCTGCTAGCATAGCTGGTAGGAAATAAAACAAAGTAAGGTCCTCTGGCATCAGAGAGACCTGCCTGGAGATCTCACTGTTGTCCCTCTGTTAGACCAGTCTGGTCTAACAGAGGAACAACAGATCACATTCAAGTGCTATCTTGGTCACTGTTTCCAGTGTTAACGTACCTGTGGGTTAGGAGTCCAGCAGAATCTGGCTCTGGCTAAAATCTCATTTACTATGACTAATATTTTGGTGAGGTCCTAATAAACTTTGTCTCAATAGGCTAAAGTCCACTTTAATTTCATTAAGATTATTGTATTCAACTGCCTAGAGATGTACATACATATTAAATACTTTGTTTTTAAATTTTAAGCTTAATCTTAACTACTGTTCTACAAATACCTTTTTAAAAATGGAACCATGGGGGGCGCCTGGGTGGCTCAGTCGTTAGGCGTCTGCCTTCGGCTCAGGTCATGATCCCAGGGTCCTGGGATCGAGTCCCACATCGGGCTCCCTGCTTGGCA